GGCCTCAGGGAGGGAAGAGGCCCCTTTGCCGTGTGAATAGAGAGTTGGGGAAATAAATTCAGGGGCCTCCTGCATGCCTAGGTTTAGGGTGTTGAGCTGGGTTTGAAGAACGGAGATAAAACTGGGAAGGGGCTTGCGGCCATTCGTCTGCTCCTCGGGATGCCCACACCCCATATCAGAGCACCTGGGTTGGAATCCCAGCTCTGCTTCCAGTTCCAGGTTCCTGCTCATGTGCGCCCTGGGATTCAGGTCACTGCTCAAGTCCTTGGAGCACCTGTCACCGCGTGGGACGCCTGGATGGAGTGGCTCCTGACTTTGGTCCAGCCCAGCCCCAGCTGTTCCAGACATTTACAGAGTAAACACCCAGTAAATGGACGATCTCTCTGCCTTTCAAATAAAGTGAAAATAAATAAATAAAACTTAACTCACCAGTATGTCACCTTAAAAAAAAAAAAAAAAAAAAACTTGTGTGAAGTAGCAGGTTTGAACCTTTCCCCCCACATTCCCCCAGCCTGCGTCTTTCTCTAGATGCAGCTGGGAGCTGCCTCTCCTGCCTCCCCCACCCCCACCCCCACCCTGCATTTCCAGGGCTCAGGAGAAGAGGGGAGAGGGGTGATGGAGACTGCTCCAGGGCTGGCACAGGGGAGGCGAAGGCAGGGATTTACTGTCTTTTAAGGTTTAGTTTCATCTACTTGGAAGGCAGAGCAGCAGTGAGAGACAGAGACAGAGACAGAGACAGAGACAGATAGAGAGATCTTCCATTCACTGGTTCACAGACAAGGCTAAGCCGGGAGCCTGGAGCTACTTGTAGGTCTCCCATGTGGAAGGCATCGTACTCGGGCCATCACTGCTACCTCTCAGGTGCCTTAGCAGGAATTAGCTGGATACAAAGCACAGAGTAGCCTGGGGACTTGAACCAGGCACTCTGATATGGGATGCAGGCCTCCCAAGAGGTGGCTTCACCTGCCCCTAAGGCAGGGCTTTCCACGGAGATTGTCTTGTGGAATCAGTTCTGGCGCCGCGGCTCACTAGGCTAATCCTCCGCCTTGCAGCGCCAGCACACTGGGTTCTAGTCCCGGTTGGGGCGCCAGATTCTGTCCCGGTTGCCCCTCTTCCAGGCCAGCTCTCTGCTGTGGCCAGGGAGTGCAGTGGAGGATGGCCCAAGTACTTGGGCCCTGCACCCCATGGGAGACCAGGAGAAGCACCTAGCTCCTGCCTTCAAATCAGCGCGGTGCGCTGGCCATTGGAGGGTGAACCAATGACAAAGGAAGACCTTTCTCTCTGTCTCTCTCTCTCACTGTCCACTCTGCCTGTCAAAAATTTAAAAAAAAAAAAAAATCAGTTCTCTGGGCCTATACAGATGTGAGCCAACTGGCAGATCCCACTTCCCCAGCCCCAGCCTTCTGAGGGACTGGTGTGGCCCGAAGCCTGGGCCTCCCTGTAGGGGGGCAGGTGTGTACCCAGGGGTCCCCAGAAGGGCGAGAGAGTCAGAATGCCCCTCCCTGATTCCCGAGTGCTTGGCTCTGGGGCCTGGGAGTTCTGCCACCTGGCCTTGAACCCACACCCCTGAGCTCAGGCCAGTGGACTCTGCTCTTGTGGTCTTGTTCCCAGGCGCCCACGAGCCAAGCCCACAGAACACTCCAGCACGTGGAGTGGGTCTGAGGGGCTGTGGTGGGCACAGACACGCTGTGAGGCCCCGGTTTGTTACATAGGGGCGGAGCGACAGTCACCATCCCCAGTCTTGGTTGCGAATTGCTGATTCATAATTACTCTCAACTTACAGATGAGCCCAAGCCCGCTGAAACTGTTTACCAGGGAGGGGCACGGTCAGGGCAGATGAGAAGGGGCCTTCCTGGGGCCGGGAGGTTCCTGGCTCTGCTTCCCAGCCAGGACCTGGGAGACACCCTTGAGCCCTCCGGTCGCACTCCCTTCTCCCTCTCCTGGAAATCTCCTCTGAGACCTCCTACTGCGGCGGGCAGGGAGCAGCCCTTCCACGTGGACGCCTGAGCTTCCTGGTTCTGGAGTTGAGGGGCTGCCTCTGACCTCCTCCAAAGACACATCCAGGGCGTCAGTGCTGAAGGGTAAACCACGGCTAGGGAGGCCTGCGCACCCCAAACCCAGCTTGCTCCGGTCCCCTCCCCCAGGCTCACCCTGAGGTATTCTCACTCCAGGGGATTTAAACATATCTGGTAAAAATGCTTTCTCTGATTATTTGAGAGACAGAGAGAGTCACCTCCCATCTGCTGCTCCACTCCCTCAATGCCTGCAATAGCCAGGAGCCAGGAACTTAATCCAGGTCTCCCGTGTGGGTGGTAGGAATTCTACCCTCCGAGCATCTCCACTGCTCTCCAGGGCCTGCATCAGCACGGAGCTGGAGCGGAAATGGAACCCAGGTACTCGCAGCGCCATTTCCCACCCAGCATTCCTGCTCAGATGCACGGGGAGGGGGGTGCAGCTGTGTTACAGCTTGGCTGAATGCACTCTGCTAAAGATAGGAGCCTCAAGGAGCCCCTCAGACCCTCAGCTCCAGGGAATCACCTCTCTCCCTCTCTCCCTCTCCCTCTCCCTCTCTCTCTCTCTCTCTCTCTCTCTCTCTCCCTCTCTCTCTCTCCCTCTCTCAATCTGGAAAGGAGCAGAGATTCCTTTTCTTCCCAGCCCTCAAAGCCTGGGCCACAAAGGGGCCTTATCTCCTGGCCATCGGAAGACCCTTAACCATCCTCCTCATCCTGGCACCACCTTGTCCAAAATGCTGGAAGGAAGAGGGGCTGGACCATGGGCCAAGGGGATCTAGGATTAGAAAGGATTTCCAGCCCTAATTCTACAGGTTTCCTTCCCACCCCCCTTTTCACTTTGCTCAAATGCACACACGAAACTAAGCAGACCAGAAGAAGGGACTCAGAACACTAGGCCCTAAAAATGCTCGTCTGTCCGTGGAGAGAGGGGTCGGGGGCACAGCCCGTTATGCGGCTGCTTGGACACCGCACCCCGCGCCCATCCCATTGTGGGCAGCCTGGCACCCAGTCTCACCTCCCTTCCCATCCAGCTTCCTGCTCTTGGGCCTGGGCAGGCAGCAGATGACGGCCCAAGCCCTTGGGTTCCTGCCACTGGCTGGCTCCTGGCTCCTGGCTCCGGTTTGGCCCAGCCCTGGTTGTGGCTGGCATCTGGAGAGTGAACCAGCAAATGGAAGAGCTCTCTTTCCTTGTCTCTCCCTGTCACTCTGCCTTTTAAGTAAATAAAATAAATCTTAAAGGAAACAAAGTCCTGCCCAGACACATGAGTGCAAGGGCACACTTGAAAAGCCGCCATCCAGGCAAGGTGGATGGCCAGCCCGGGGAACCAGGGCACCCCCAACCCTCAGCCTCCCCTGGGCTGGCTGCCTCTCCAGCTCATGTTCCATCTCAAGAGAAAAGTCGGTCAGGGATGCGACTAAAGTTACCCAGATAATTAACTGTGAAAGTACAGTGTTTTTTCTTTTCTTTTCTTTTCAAAATGCCACTCTTTTGGCCCCCAAAGAGGAGAGCTTCGTGAATCCCTCCCCTAGCTCCCTCCTATTCTCAACTCTCCTCCCACAACACACTCAATCCCTACCTACAAAAAACCCCCACACTAGCGGGGCAAACCTTCCTGTCCCACTACAAACTCCGTCCCCCCCCCCCCAATTTTTTTTCTCTCCTGAGTTTCTGCTCTTCTCAAAAAAAAAAAAAAAAAAAAAACACAACGAAGAAGGAGGAATTTTCAATAGTCCCACTTGTCAAGCGAACACCATCTTTTAACCTTCAACAGCAGCGAAAGCCGTGTGAACTCTCGGTGAACCAAGATTGAAGTCATAAATCACGCGTACAAAGGCGGCTGCGGAGCTGGCGCGGGCTGCTGCACCTTTAACGCTTTCTGCGGCTGACAGGCGGCGGCCCAGCTAAAGTTCACAGCGCCGGGGGAGGGCCCGCCCCGCGCCCCTCCCCCAGCGCACCCCCGGCCCGGGCCCGGTCGCCTTCGCTGTGCCCGGGAGGCCCCCGCGCGGTGCCCGCCACGCAAAGGCAGCCAGGGCATCCTCGCTCCCGCCAGCCGGCTCCCGGCCCCGCATCCCCCGCCCCGCCCCCGGCTGCACTGAAATAGGCAAATAGATCCACACGGACACGATCATTTAGCTTGCTTTGTCTTTGGCATTTTCTGCGGGACCCCGAGAGATGGCCCTCTCTCTTTCTCTCTCTCTCTCTAGAGCTGGCGTTCTTCATCTCTGTCTATGCAGGCCCAATTACCCAGATCCTTGGGGTTCCAGGAGGCTGTGAGTCATTGGAACCAGCAACACCTGGCTGAAACGCGCCGTAGAATTCAAGTTCCCTGTGGCTTTACCTTTCCTTTCTTTGAAGAGGGCTGGCGTTGGCCTTGGGCCGGGGGATGCTTGTTTTGGTGGGGGGGAGGAGCATGGAAAACCTGCCCACCAGGAGTTCGCGCTCAGCCCCCCACCCCAGGGCTCCCCGGCCTCCCCAGAGTCCCGAGCCCCGAGCCCCTTCCTCTGCACGGCCTCTCGGCCTCCTGCTCCCGCGATCGTTCTCTCCCTCCGCCCCCTGCCTCCTCTTCGGTTTAATTAAAGTTCAGCGACTCCACTTGCTTCTCCTCTCGTGGCGCTCGGGAGAGCGGAAGCCAGGCCGCCCAGCGGCCCCGGTGCAACCCCAGCCGGCTGCCGGAGGGGCCTGGGCTTCGCCAGCCTCGCTCCGCCGGCGCCGGACTGGGGGAGCCGGGGCTCTACCCCTCCGCCACGCCGCAGGTGTGCGCTGGAGCGGGGTGGGGAGAACTTCCCGAATGATCGGGGCTGGGTAGGCGTGCGCTCGGCTGCCCACCCCCCCCAGACCCCCGGGCTGGCCCCCACAAAGTTTGTGGAGGCCGGGTGCACCCCCAAACCCTCAGCTGACTAATCCGACATGACAAAAGCCCGTGATGGATTTGGTGTATGTTAATTCACAATGCCCTTTCCTCCAGAATTTAACTATAAGTTAATACACACCGGAAACCACGCGCATACACGCTCGTTAATGGGCTTAGGTATTAGCGAGTCCTAACGATGCATACAAATGTGCTCAGCGCTCCGTAGGCCGCTCAAGATTTATGGGCCTGGAGCTCTCTGAAGCTGTAAACAAGGGAAAAAAAAGGAGAAAGCCAGAGAGACTGGGGGAGAGAGACCGAGGCCTGCCTTGGCCCTCCAGGCCCGACCAGAGAAGGGTTCCTAGGTATTTGCCTAAGCTCCGGGCGAGTGGCGTTTCCCGCCGAGGCCGCTGTGCGTCCGGGCAGAGGGTTGCTAGTGTTCGGGGCAGGTGGGCGCCTGCCTCGTCTGAACCTAGCAGGCATTGGTGGGCGTATGCGGGTGAGTGTGTGCTCTGGGCCAGCCGTGTTGGGGTGTGTGGGGGTGTGTGTGCACGCACGTGTGACCCGCAGGCCTCTGTCCCCAGGACCTGTGAACAAACCTCTAACAACCGACCTAATAACAATAAATAACGTGATGATGATGATGATGATAATAATAAAAACAGTAGTTAACAGCCCCTCCCTAGCAGGAAAACAATAAAAAGCCGGAGGAGCAGGGGACAGAAGCAGCAGTGGAGACTACAGACTGTGCCGGAGGGGAAAACAAGGAAGAAAGTTAGCGCCTCCGTACGTGCAGCCCCTCCCCAGACAAGGTCCGGGCCTGGGGCGCGGCGGGAGACCGCGCCGGGAGGCCCCGCTTCCCTGTTGCTTTCTCGCGGCTTTGTGCGATCAAGGAGGAGACCCCACGAGTGAGGGTGGCCGGGGGCAGGGAGGGTGCCTTGTGGATTCTCTGTGTGGAAGAAGAGGCCGAGCATCCAGGGGCAGGCCGAAGGGAGAGACGGAGGAGGCGGTGACCACAGCCTCCGTGCTGGCCGCCCGGGCCGCGGAGGTGCGGGGCCGGCAGGGACGCGGGGAGACGCGCACGGCCGCCCGGGAGAGGGCAGAGCCAGGCCGGGGCCCCAGCAGGCCCAAGGAAACTTCCTTTCCCGGCGTCTTTAAACAAAAAACAAACAAAAAACCCCAAGGGAGGAGTGGAGGCGCCTTGAATTTTCCTCCGCGAGGTTGGAACCGAGGCTTCGGCCCAGGAAGCGAAGCCCGCGGGTCGGTCCCGGATCCTGCACTGTCCTTATCCCGCGCAGGTACCGGTTTCCGATCGTGGTGCGGATTTATTTATCTGGGGGCGGCGGGAGGCCGAGGTGCGGAGCGCGCGCGACGTTCGCGGGAGAGGGAGCCGGCTCGCAGCTTCCGCAGGTTCGGGTCTAACGAAATCCCTCCTTTAAAACGCAATTGTGCCAGCAGAACCGGCAACGACGCAGCGGAAAACAGAAAACACGCAGCAGCCAACTTTGTCAACGGAAAAGGCACCCTAAGGAACGCGCGTGAGAACTTGTGCAGGCTGAAGTCCGCGCACGTTTCGAGGTTTGCCTTTTCTTCCCCCGAGAGAGCGGTGACCCCTCTGGCGCGGGGAGAGGCGGAGAACTCCCTTTAGACCCGACCCATGCGCCTCGCGACGCGGGCCGCTGGCCCCGGCCCTCCGCACTCCGGACGAAAAGGCAAGAAGAAAAACAGAACGGGTGGCCGCGCGGCCGGGCGCAGGGCGCGGGGATCGGGTCCGGCCCGGGAGATGGCGCGCGAGCGCGCGGGGGACCCGCCAGGCACCGGCTGGCGACTGGCTCGGCCTCGGCCTCCGCCTCCCCAGCGCGGCCTGCAGCCCCCGTGCCTCTGAATCCTCTCGGCTCCCGGGCCTGGGCCCGTCTTCCCTGATGAGGGGGGCAAAGTGACCCAAGCCAGACTGGGCCTTCTCGGTTTTTCTCCTGTAGGCCTGGCCGCTCGCCTCCACGCTCAGCTACTGGGAGAAGGCCAGGCAGGGCTGCTGGGATGCCTCGGGGCGGCCACTGCCTTCCACCGCTCCCTCTTGGGTTCCCGAAGTCCAGTAACCCCCAGCCCCCCTGGGGGTGGGGGAGAGGGGCAATGACCAGTGTCCAGACCCCTCAGCCCCCTGTCCGGTCTTCAGGAATATCTCCCCGAGCAGCAGAAGAAAGGGAGGGGAGCTTGGAGCGGTGTTTACATCTCGGTCTCCCGATCCATTCACATCTGGAGGGTTTATTTATAACTCCCGCTATAACTCTCTCTGTTCCGAGGCACTGGTGGCTCTCTTGACAGACTGAGGTCTACAAAATATTGCTTTATCTCTAACCGTACCTAAATGTGCTGTGGTTGTATTTTCAGATTTATGCTTCAGGAAAATATAATTATTTCCATTGTATTTGTGCATATACAATAGTTATAGAAGCAGATTTATATATGGGAAAATATATGGCTCTCTTATAGCCATCCAGCTTTATGGACATTTGATACCCTGACAGGTTTATGTCTCTGAGAGCCATATAGATAAATGTATATCATTAGAATTATGTATCGGGAGAGAGATGCTTATTGATTGTGATATAGAGTACTTAGAGCATTCAGTTACAGCCGTATATGGCTACGGAGATATTTCTATAGTATTATCACTATATATAGGCATATCTATTTATAACTACATAGTTGTAAAAATAGACGGAAGTAATTATCATCGTATATGTACGGCCTCTCTCTTCTCTCTCTCTTTCTCTCTGGAGTTACAGGCACTTTCAAAGGGAAGTCTGTGGAGATACCCGTATGTATATGAGGTGCAGTCACGGCGTGATGCGTGTGCACTGGGACCTAGGCCGGCCTGTCTCGGAGCGGACGCATTTCCACGGAGGGGCTGGAAGAGACTTGTTCACAGAGGCATCTGCGAAGCTATGTCAGGCTCTCTAGGAAATCGGCAGCCCAGTTCTTTACTTAGCGAGGGATGGAGTTACAAAGGGTGAACAGGGCACTGCAAGTCTCCAGAAGGGGAGGCCGCTGGAGGGTGCCCCGGGCTCGGCGCGCACAAACAGAGCGGAAGAAGAGGGGTAAGCGCCCAGGCGCCACCGGCATCCACCAGGAGGCGAGAACCGGTTTCGCCTGGGCCTGGTGAAGACAGGTGTGGACAGGGAGCTTGCAGAAGGGGAGCCAGTGCACGGAGCCCCCACCCCACCTGCCACAGGGGGCCAGGTCTCCGCTTTTAGTGCACCCGAGGCTAGCAGCAGTCCAGCATTCCTGGCGTGGTTTTCTTGAACCCTAATTTGTAAGTCTGCAAGTATGGACTTCCGAGGTGAAGAGGGTTGGGGGGGGGGGACAGCAGACGGCGGGGAGCACACTTCCTGCTGTCTCTGAGCCAGGAAAGTGAGGTGAGCACGGTCGGAGAAAGCTCACCCCCCCCCCCCCACCGGGCCTCCCATGCTCCAGGGGCTGATGTGTGGCGGGGATCCTGAGCCCAGGCGGCGATGGGGCGGGGACGCTGCCCGCGGGCTCGCCAAGGCCTCCCTTCCCACCTGTCCCTTCTTTGCTCCTTCTAAAGTTTCCCCAGCCGCCGCCCACCCCAGCGGAAAATGCCACCCCCTTCACTTCATTTTCTTTTAAACCAGGAGTCATAGACATCTTTGCCGAATGGTTGTGCAGAGCACTTTCCCGGGTCAGTCTCAGCAGCCAGCCTGCCTCCCAAGATCTCTTGGATGCTGGAAAGGAGTGGAGACCCCCGGCTGGGGTTCAGATCCACGCACCTGCCACCCTCCACACACCCCACAGGACTGGGAACTCCTCCAGAGAGGGCGCCCGTGCTGTCACCCCAAAGCTTGCCCTCACTGCACACCACTGGGGCCATAGGCAGCTAGCAGGCACCTGGGGTCCCAGGCAGGAGGAGCCCCTACCCAGGCATGGCGCCTGGCGTGTAGTTAGTGGGGCTGGGAGAACAAGGCATCCTGATCCAGGAAGTTGGGTGGGGGGTAGCAGGACCCGTGTCCCCAGTGCACCTTGGATTCTTAGCCGCCCCCCCCCCCCCACGTACGGAAGCTGAACTGAAGCCCGAACCCCGGGCTGTGATGGAGCTGCCTGCTGGCCTGTGGGGCCCCGAAAGGAGCCATCGCTCGGTCCATTAGGAAATACACAAATAAAACCGGAATTATACATCAGCGGGAGACAGACAGCCTGGCCAAAGGAGAGTCTCTGTGTGCCTCAGGCCTGAACCAGGGACACCAAGTGCAGGCTTAATATTTTTATAATTTAATCGAACAGTTCGCGTTTTTTTTAACTTCAGAAAACTCACCAATTTTCCAAACCAGTAATGCCTCCCAACCGGAGTGTTTTGGATTTTTATTCATTTTTTAAAGCACTTTATTTATTCGAAAGGCAGAGCAACAGAGAGGAGAGAGAGAGAAGAGAGAGAGAGAGAGAGAGAGAGAGAGAGAGAAGTCTTCCATTAGCTGGTTCACTCCCCAAGTGCCCACGACAGCTGGCAGTGGGTCAGGCTGAAGCCAGGAGCCTGGCACCCCAGCCAGGTCTCCCACATGGCTGGCAGGAGCGCTGGTACTGGAGCCATCGCCTGCTGCCTCCCAGGGTGCCAGGAGCAGGAAGCCAGTGGTAAGGACATCCCCGCTGTGCCACACGCCTGCCTCTCACGCATTTCTTTTTCATTGTTATCATTTCCTTTTTGGACTCTGTAAAACAGCTCCTCGGAGGAGCTTGGGGCCAGGCTGGCCAGGTGTAACATTCCCGCATCGGGCGAGGACACTGGTGTGCGTGGCACAGGTCAGCCTCCCCTTCTGCCATCAAGGCTGAGAGTGGGGAGGATCTCCCAAATTTGATTCCTTTTCTCCCTAAGGATCCTTAGAGGCATCCACTGTGTGTCCCAGCGAGAGACTGCGGCCTAGGAAAGGGGCGACACTAAACCCAGAATCCCATTCCCTGGCCCCAAGTTCAACCATTTTCTCCAGAGTTCTAGCTCTCCCCTCCCTCCCTCGTCCTCTCCCCAGTAACACCTGAGGCCCTGGAGCAACGCTGCTGTTTTCCCTTCAGAAATGCAAGGAGACCCAAGTTCCCGTATTTACATATGTTTGCCTGCCTGCGGCTCCAGGCTGCAGCCTGGGCTCCGGCTGGGACACTCTGCAAACTCCGGGACCTGCAGGCTGCACGTGAGGACAGTCCCTGCACCTAAGCGGGAAACCAAGAGCCAGCGGCCAATTGGACTGAGCCCAGAGAGCCGTGTTCCCTTTCCTGGGCTGTTTCTGGGGGCCAGGCCCCCATTGGGGAGCAGACAAAACAAAGGGCTGGATGCACAGCGCCCTGGACTGTTGCTGGAGATACCTGAGTGCTAGAGGCCGCGGTGTGAAGGTTGAGCAGCCCCAGAGTGCATTCCCCTTCCTGGCAGGGACCCAGTAAGGAGGGCATTTCGCCCTTCCTTGGCCCCCCTGCTTGGGTGTCCAGGAGCTCTTCCCTAGACGCGGCCCCTGCAGCCCTTGGCCCTTGGCAAAGGCCTCGTCCTTTTTGGCTTTGCCAGAGCAGTGCCTTGCAGAGGCCTTGGGCGCTCAGGCTCAGCTCCGCACCCTTCCACCCTCTGCCCACTTCCTCAGCTCATTCCTGGGGGCGGGGGAAGGGGTGTCTGGAGCCCGTGGCAGGCAGCAGCAGTGGAGGCCTTGGCCATAAGGGGACCCAATTCCCATCTCCAGTGCAAAGTTGGATGCCAGGAGCAAGTTGCAATTGCTGTAATAATCGCCATCCTAATAACAATAATAATTTATTTAGCATATCATTAGATGTGTATTTACTGTCTTGCCTCTGCTTTTTTACAAGTGTCTCCTAAGGAATTCTCACAGCACCCAGGGGAAACAATAATAAGCTAATTGCCACCCCTGCCTCCTTCCCCTCCTCCCGTTCAGAGTCACCTCTCCGTGCTGTGTGTGTCACACCTGCTCAATGCATCCTTCCCCACTCCCATTCCCAGCTTTTCCATCCCTCCGAGAAGGAATGGCCCTGGGCAGGAGGGGCTGCTGAGGCCTGGAGGGACCTACTTTGTTGTGGCTGCTCCAAGGATTAATGTTGTTTTCCTGATCTCACAGCAGTATTTAGGATTGTGTGGGAGGAACTTCCCTGGCCGCTCCTTCTGGGACAGAAATGGCCAGCACAGAGTGAAGGGGCAGAATGAGCCAGAGAGGACTTGTGCGCCCAGGATGCCAGCACACCTGAGTCAGGTGCAGGGGTGTGGCCAGTAGTGCAGGTGCAACACCCACTCCCCGGCCTGCAGACCGTCCAGGTTAGGCCTCAGAGGCGCAGGTCCCACACGGCTCGCTGGCCTCTTGGCAATGGAAAGAAAAAGAGAGGGAGGAAGGGAGAGAGGAAGGAAGACCTTCATGTATATTTACGTAAATATTCACACACATATCAGGGTACTTCAGAAACTTCATGAAAAATGGACTTAAAGGATATTTTAGGGGCTGGTGCTGTGGCATAGTGGGTTAAGCATCTACTTGTGGCGCAAGCATCCCATATGGGTGCCGGTTCGAGTCCTAGCTACTCCACTTCCCATCCAGCTCTCTGCTATGGCCTGGGAAAGCAGTGGAAGATGGCCCAAGTGCTTTGGCCTCTGCACCCCGTGCGGGAGACCTGGAAGAAGCTCCTGGCTCCTGGCTTCAGATCGACACAGATCCAGCTGTTGCAGCTATTTGGGGAGTGAACCAGCAGATGGGAGACCTTTCTCTCTGTCTCTCCCTCTGTCTGTAACTATGCCTCCCTAGTAAATAAATAAATCTTTAAAAAAGATATTTTGGTGCAGAAAATTTGAAATCCATGCATATGAAAAATCTTCAAAAAATCCAGAGAAATGCATATTGTGAAAAAACTATACATAGATTTCAAAGTTTTTTGCACTAAAATAAAGGTTTTTTTAATTAAAGATTTTTGTTTATTTGAAGGGCAGAGAGAGAGAGAGCGCACTGTTCCACTCTTCCATCCGCTGGCTTACTTCCCAAATGCCCACAGCAGCCAGGGCTGGGCCAGGCCAAGGCCAGGAACCAGGAACTCCCTCTGGGTCTCCCACATGGGTGGCAGAGACGCAAGCACTTGGGCCATCATCCGCTGCCTCATAGGAGATTAGCAGGAAGCTGAATTGGAAATACAGAGCAACTGGGACTTGAACCAGGCACTCTGATATGGGAGACAGGTGTCCAGCTTGCTGTGCCCCACCATCTGCCCCACAAATTCAACGTTTTAATTCCATTTTCCGTGAAGTTTTGGAAGTCTCCTTCTATTTTGTCTTGAGTAAATGAATCAATGGTTATACTTTTAAAAACTACTCATTTCTTTGCACTTTTAGACATAAACTCGTAACTTCTTGGGGATTACATTTAACACTCAAGGCAAGTGTGTTTCTGGATGACGGATGCTGGGTGGACCTAACCCTCTGGCCTCCCAGTCGTCCACAGGGCCTGTTCTTAAGCACTCTTTTGCTTGACTTCAACCCGGAGCAGAGGCCTGGGGCTGCTGTCTTGGTTGGAGACCAGCTGCTTGGCCCGCATGTGGCTGCTCAGAATCCCCAGACACTAGGACAGTCTCCACCTCTCTGCCCCAGCACCTAACTCCCCGCTAGGAGGAAGCGCATGTGGGCTGGAAGGTACAAGAGCCAGAGAGTCAATATCAATGAGAACTGGCAGTTAGAAGTGAACCTACTTCTTAGCTGCCTAAGCCACAGGTGGGTCCCATCCCCACTTGCTGGCCCATCCTCTTTTGCCACCCCCATGTCTTCCTGTAGTGCATACATTCTACTGCGGGCCTCCTGGAAGGAAGAGGCGTGTGCCTTTAATAACCCCAGTCCTGGCATGGGAGAGACGTGAAGACACCTCTGCTTGGACACCCACACCCCATGTCCGGGTGCTTGGACACTGGTCCTGGCTCTGCTGGTTTCCTACTGCCGTGCGGTGGGAGGTGGCACGTGGCACACGCGGGAGTCTCAGATTGGATTCCAAGCTCCTGACTTTGGTGTGGCCCCGTCCTGGCTGCTGATGCTCTTTGAGGAGTGAACCAATGGATGGAAGTGCTCTCTCTCTCTCTCTCCCTCCCTCTCGCTCTCTCTGATTTTCAAATAAGATGAAAATAAGAGAAATGTAATACAAAGCCCAGTCCTAACAGACTCTACTTGTCCTGAGCCCCTGCTACGAGACCAGGCAGCCTTCCAGGTTAGCAGTGTGTGGCCATGCACACCGCCCAGGCCACAGTGGGCACTTCGGTAGGGTTTCCAGGGGTCATTGCCTAAATGGAGAGAAATGGCTGCGATGATGCAACCCCAGACCCATTATGGCAAGGTGCCTCGATCTAAGCTAGAGCCAAGATGGTTCCTTCTGGCATGATCTGGAGCAGCCGCCCAGCCAGCTTGCCCATGCGTCAAGCTAACCTTACCCCAAACCGAAGGTTTCTGGGCCTGCTTGGAGGGGTACAAGACCCTTCCTTCTTTCAATGCCAGACCTTGAAAGGTAAAACTGAGTTGGAGACTCTGCGCTGCCAGGCCAGGTGATTCGGCATGAGGCTCAGAGTCCAGGCTTCTGACTTGTGCTAACAAGGTGACAGTCTGAGTGACAGTCACTCAAGTGGGCACCTGGGGAAGTCACGTGAAGGTCTCCCCGGCACTGGCAAAGGCAGGAAGAGGGTGGCGGGCGCACTTTCTTCATCCCCCAAGTCATTCATTCCACGACTGAGTTCCAGTTCTTAGGGTCCCAAAGCCCCCTCCATATCATAACTGTAGCAGTTTCCATTTCCGGAAGATGACTATATGCTGCGTGCTTCATGCTGAATTTGATGAGGAAATGGATTTTCAGAAAGATTAAGTCATCTGCCCAAGGTCATTTGACCAGCTATGAACCCTGGACACACACAGAGGAGAGAGAGAAAATCTTCCATCCACTCGTTTACTCCCCGAATGATGACAGCCAGGGCTGGGCCTGGCCGAAACCAAGAGCCAGAAACTCCATTCAAGGCTCCCACGTGGGTGGCAGGGGCCCAGGCACTCAGGCCTTGCCTCCCCCCAGCACATGAGCAGGGGGCTGGATTGGAAGTGCGGTAGCCGATGCCAGAGTAACAAGTGGTGGCTCACCCTGCTGCACTCTGGATTTTTAACACTTCCAAACCATGCTTTATGGAGAGCAGAAACCACGGGTATGAAATGGATTCTTGTCTATCCTGTGGCCATATGGAGGGCGCGCCACAGGCGCCTCGCTTCTCGCTTCTGCTGTGGCTGGCCGTGTGCTTGGACATTGTCAGAATCTTCACCTCCCTGAATTCCCTGTCACTAGGAGTCCCTGACTTTTCAGCACAGCGTCCTTCCCCACCCTTTCCCGCCTAGAAACGTCCCCCAATGGCAGGCGTCTGGTTCCAGAGGGCTCCTTGCATCCCTGCTTGCTCAAGCAGACTCAACAGTTCCGCCGAGGCTCGGCGTGTGAAGCTGAGAAGGAGCCGGAGCTGAATCTTCAGGGCCCCTTATCTCCCGAGCGCCCGGCCTGCGCACCTGCTCTCCTGATCGCATCCTTATTTGATGAAGCGCCCCCGTGGTGCTCTTGTACTTGAAAGGATGTGATCTACAGAAGGGTGTACTCTAATGGCCAGCCCCAGGTATTTCGGCGGCAGGGTCTTCGGGGAGGGGGAACAGCCTTCCCAGGAGCCCTGACTGCGAAAGGCTCATCCCACGCCTTCGGATGGAAGCTACTCAATGGGATCCCTTTATTCTGCTGCGCTGATTCTCTGTGTTCACCTGGCTGCCGGCACCCTACAGACACCAGCCCCATCCTCCCTCCCAGTCTTGGCTCCTCTCGGCCTCTCTCCCAGCAGGGCCGGGGTCCTTTAGGGAATCAGCTCCCCATGGTGAGCCTGCAGGGGGCTCGTGGAAGAGGTTGAGTTGTCAAATGAGGAGACACCAGTGCGAACACCCCCACTCCCCACCCCCCACCAACTCTGGAATGAAGATGGAGAGTTTTCTGTGCCTGGTTTGGTTCACAGAGACACATAGTCCATCATTTGATTTGCTACAAAGAGTATTCCTCCTCCCTGCCCCCAGCATCCTCCAGTTTTTGCTTAGAGTCTGGGAGCTGGAAAGATCTTAGTGATAACCTCACAGAGGCAGTTCACAGCGAAGGAAGGGAAACTGAGGCTCGGAAACCAGAACCCCGGTATCAGATCCCAAAATCAAAATTCTTCCCAGTGCCCCAGGGAAGCTGGCTTTCTCTGGGCGTCAGTTGTTTTAAATATTTATTCATTTGAAAGGGGGGGGGGGAGAGAGAGAGAGAGAGAACCTTCCATTTGCTTGTTCACTCCCCAAATAGTGGTAGCAGCCAGGGCTGGGCCAGGGAATTCCAGCCTGGTCTCCTGAGTGGGTGCAGAGGCCCAAGCGCTCGGACCATCTTCTGCTGCTTTCCCAGGCCACAGCAGAGAGCTGGATTGGAAGTGGAGCAGCTGGGACTTGAACCGACACTCCTGTATGGGATGCTGCTGTCGCAAGTCCAGGCTGCGCCACAAAGCCGGCCCCAGCTGGATACTTTTGGAATTGCTCCCTCCAGACTCCAGAAGCCAAGCTTGCTTTCCATGGCAGGGAGCACAGGAAGCAACCGTCATAGGATAGGAGCCAGGCCCTCCTTCCCAGCCGGGGCACCTCTTGGCACATGTCGGTCAGATACGAAGATCTGTAATCCTACAGGAGCGCGCATGGTTTCTGTGAAATTCTAGGACCCCCTCTCCCCTCTGTCTCGGCCGCATAACACACGCCCACTCCCC